GAAAGCCTTTATACTAGAACATGTCATTTTTATCCCACGTAGGATGAAGGTAAATAATTATAACAAAAATTTTGGAGTCCCTAATTTGGGCACTTATAACTTCATGTAAGTTTGTTTATAACGTTCTTGATTTGATTTATAAAAACAAACAAACAAAAACCCAAAAAAACAAACATTTGAAAAATTCATGATGCTTTGTTACTTATAAATAGGCCTAGTTTAAAAGGGAAATTTTTCGAGACAAAGTTTGATTTCTAAAAATATTCAGACTGATTTAGGGTAAAATCTGTAGTGAAACATGACTATGTGTGACTAGATTAGACTATTAATTTTTATATATGTATGAAAATGAATGAAGGGGACTACAAAATACAACAAATACTTTTGTGAAATCTATTCTGCTCTAGGAAATGCTAATCTTTCTGTCTTATTAATTTTACATTGTGTTTGTTGAAGACTTAATGGAGGAAATTATTTTGTATGAATCACTCTGTCAAAACTCAAGAATAGTAAAACATATCTGCAATCATAAAATCAAATTTGAAAATCTGATGACAATGAATTAGAAAGAAAAATAACCGAATTTTGAAAAAATTAAACCCCTTACCCAGTGTAGAAATCAGTATTTACATTATAGTTTAATATATAAGCATGATTTTTGCAGCTTAACAGTTAAGTACCATTACCTAATATCAGGAACACACCTTTATTTTTGGAAGGAGTCTGTTAAAAGTTCTTTGTATCTGTTCCATGAGTTTTTCTAAGATTAGCTGTTTTTATATTATCACCAATGTTACTAACTTTACTTTCTTCAATATGTATGATTCTATTCAACTTTGTGTTTGCAATCCTCAGCTCTCATTTGTGCTGACTGAATCCACTCCTTTCATAGTTCTATTTTCAAAAAGGTCTTCAACTAACTGTAATTTGAATTATTAGCCAATCTACTGCCTCTATCTGTTCCAACTAGTTCATTTATCTCTTCATCTACATCTTCAGGATCATAAAGTTCAGGTGTAAAATAGATAGATTCATCTTCTGCTTCTGTTTCAAAATCTCGATTTGAAGTGGAAAGTTTAGCTTCTTTACTTACTACAGACATTTTGATGTCCGGATCTAAGGTTTCTTCACAGCAGAGCAGGTGTGTGGAATGATTTATTTTGGCAAAAGCAGCACCAATCTTTATTGGTGAAATAATGGTTTCTGTTTGAGGGCATGGCCCAAGTGATGTGTTTACAGTCAGAGATGAAGAGTTACATTTATCAGTGAATGGTAAAAGAGTTTTATTTTCCATCTTTTCTATTTTGATAGTAGAAGTAATGGAGGTACCATCCTCTGACTTTCTGACCTCTGGTGTTGCAGTCAGCATTTTACCAGGCAGATACTGTCCAAAAGAAGGAACGCTTGACCAACTGACTCTCATTGCTTGTTTGTTGAACGTTGGGCTTGTGGATCTGGAAATCACATTTTTTTCTCCTTTTATTGCATGGACAGACTCTTCCGAAAATATTTGATCACCTATGAACACAAAAATTCAAAAGCTTTTAATCCTATCCCTAGCTAACAAAGTAACTGTTGTACTAAAATGATTATTGTTGTTGTTATGTGCCGTCGAGTCAAACCTGACTCATAGCGACCCCTCCTTGGGTTTCCGAGACAGTATCACTACGGAAGTAGGATTGCCCAACCTTCCTTC